CCTATATAAGGAAGCTTAATAGTGTGTGAAAACGTATATCAGGAAGCTTAATACTGTGTGAAAACCCATACCAGGAAGCTTAATACTGTGTGAAAACCCATATCAGGAAGCTTAATACTGTGTGAAAACCTATATCAGGAAGCTTAATACTGTGTGAAAACCTATATCAGGAAGCTTATGAAGGTATGAAGAACTATAACAGGAAACTTAAGAATGCAAGAAAAACCTGTATCAGAAAGCTTCAGATTGTGTTAAAACCTAAACCAGGGCTTTTCAGAAGTCCATATCCTAACATGGGAAATAATTTTAAAATAAAAACAGGTAGCAATAATTACACAAACTTTTGATAAAACCACGTTTCTTTTTATCATTTATACCATGTAACTCGCACAAAGACTAATTAAGAAACTAATTTTTAATTCCAAATTAATAGTATTTTTTGTATATTAGGCAAGAAAAATTTTAGAAAACATTTCTTTTTATTAAGGCTTTAGCAAATAAACCAAAATCTTGTAACAAATTACACAGAAAAAGTGTAATGTAAATATTAGGTCGTCTAGAAATTAATGTCGCATTTTGAAACATTAACCACCTCCTCCAAAAAATACATCAAGTATAATAGTTAAACGAACCTCATAAATATCACGTTAGTGTAGCCTATATAATATGTAAAGTTTAGTATACTCTAATCCCTTATATTGATGGCACACGACGAGACACACATTCGACGAGTAATTCTTGTTTGAATACAAGAAGGGAAATAATGCCTCTGTAGCCACAAAAAATATCAAAGAAGATTATGGAAATGTTTTGAACATTCGTAAGTGTCAATGATTGTTATATAAATTTCGTTCAGGTGACTTTAGCCTTAAAAACCGTGATGGTAGGGGCCGACATGTTGGAATTGATATTGATGCGCTGAAGATGCTTGTTGAGTCTAACCCAAGGCAATACACTCGTGAAATAGCCCTAAAATTGCATGTCTTTCATGAAACAATACATAAACATCTAAGGAATATGGGAAAACTCCATACAGAAGGTGTTTGGGTGCCTCACAAACTCTCCAATGATCATTGTTTCAAGTGTGTGAACGTTGCTTCGTCTGTTCTGGTGCGTAATGCGTGTGAAATATTTTTGGGCAGAATTGTCACCGGTGGTCAAAAATGGATTTTCTATGCGAATATTTAACGCCAAAAACAATGGCTCAGTCCTAAACAAAAACCACTTCCGACCTCAAAACCTGGAGAAAGTGATGCTTTGCATTTGGTGGGACATCAAAGGAGTAATGCATTGTGAACACCTCAATCCACAGTGAATTGTCAATGCAGAGATCTATAGTCAGCAACTGGAACGTTTAAATCAAGCCATTCATCAGAAACGCCCTTCGCTCGTCAATCGGAAAGGTGTTCTTCTTCTCCACGACAATGTACGTCCACTTGTTTGACACAACACACGATTATGGAGTTAGGCTGGGAAGTTCTCCACCATCCACCATATTCTCCAGATATGACACCATCAGATTACCATCTTTTTCATTCGCTGCAAC